GAAAAGGTTTATGAGAGGAGGGTTAGAAATCAAAGAATAGAGGAAGTCCAAGAACCTACAACTGTCCATGGTTCTGCATCAATGCCAGGAAGTGAAAAAGGTAATACTTCTAGCAACTTTGACCTTCCAATTGCTCTCAGAAAAGAGAGAAGAACATGTGTTAAATACCCCATCTCAAACTATGTTTCTTATTCTAAATTGACCCCAGATTTTACAGCCTTTGCTTCCAATATTTCTTCAGTTTCTATTCCCTCAACCATACAGCATGCTCTATCTAAACCTGAGTGGAAGAAAGCTGTTTTGGAGGAGATGGAGGCTCTTGAAAAGAATCAGACATGAAAGCTTGCAGAGTTACCTAAAAACAAACCTACAGTTGGTTGCAGGTGGATTTTCACTCCCAAGTTTAAGGCAGATGGAAGTTTGGAGAGGTATAGAGCAAGACTAGTTGTCAAGGGTTACACACAGACCTATGGAATTGATTACACAGAAACCTTTGCACCAGTTGCAAAGTTAAACACCGTAAGAATTCTTTTCTCTTGCTGCCAATTTAGACTGGGCATTACAACAACTGGATGTGAAGAATGCTTTTTTAAATGGGAAACTTGAAGAAGAAGTGTACATGGAACCTCCTCTTGGGTTTGAAAATAAGTTTGGGTCAAAAGTTTGCAGATTAGAGAAGGCTTTATACGGAGTTAAACAGACTCTAAGAGCCTGGTTTGACAGATTCACAAAGTTCATAAAGAAGCAAAGATTTAATCATGCTCAAGCTGACCATACTTTATTCATGAAGTTTTCAGGTAAGGGGGAGATTGCAATCTTAATTGTCTATGTAGATGATATTATCCTCACAGGAAATTATCACACAGAGACTAAAAGGTTGAAAGACAAACTTGCTCATGAATTTGAGATCAAAGACCTAGGAATGGAGATAGCTAGATCAAAGAAGGGTATTGTTGTCTCATCATTTTCATTTCATTTACCCCAGTGCCGCAAAGGCTCCCACCTACGGTGGGGTAAGGGAGGGTCGGATGTACGCAGTCTTACCCATGTACTAAAGCACATAGAGACTGTTTCCGGATGACCCATTGTGATAATACCATCCAAAATTGCATGGACTGACTGTTGCTTCATAACAAAGAAGCGCAGACAGTTTAGTGAGTCATTTTGCTTTATTCCATCATAATCTCAAGCCAAAAAATAATGAATCTTTGGCTCCATTGCAAATGATGGAAAAAGGGTATTGTTGTCTCACAAAGAAAATATATCCTAGATCTACTACAGGAAACTGGAATGAGTGCCTGCAAACCAGCAGACACTCCAATTGACCCAAGTCAAAAATTGGGAGATATCAAGGAGGGAATTCCAGTTGATATTTACCAATATCAAAGATTGGTGGGAAAATTAATATATCTGGCACACACAAGGCCAGATATTGCATTTGCAGTAAGTATGGTGAGTCAGTTTATGCATCATCCTCTCCAAGAACATCTTGATGCTACTTACAGGATTCTGAAATACCTGAAGAGCTGTCTAGGGAAGGGATTGTTTTTCAAAAAAGGGAGACAATAGGACAATTGAAGCTTTTACTGATGCAGATTATGCTGGCTCAATATCTGATAGGAGATCTACTTCTGGATACTGCACTTATGTATGAGGAAATCAAGTTACCTGGAGAAGTAAGAAACAAAATGTGGTTGCTAGAAGTAGTGCAGAATCAGAATTCAGAGCTATGGCTAATGGAATATGTGAGTTACTCTGGATCAAACGAGTAATCACAGAACTGAAGATGGAGATTGGGTTGCCTATGAAGTTATATTGTGATAATAAAGTTGTTATAAGCATTGCTCATAACCCTATGCTACATGATAGAACTAAGCATATTGAAGTGGACAAACATTTCATTAAGGAGAAGATTGAAGCTGGAATCATTTGCACACCATTTGTATCCACTAAAGATCAAACAGCTGATATCTTCACCAAAGGGTTATTTAGACCTATATTTGAGCTACTTATAAGCAAGTTGGGAATGTATGATATATATTCACCAACTTGAGGGGGAGTGTAGAAAAATGTTACATTATTAGAAAAATGTTACATTATTTTTTCTGATTAGATTGATGTACATATTTAGTCGGATAGACTTAGTTAGTTGTAGATAAGCTCATAGTTATCTAGATCCTAATTTTTAGGATCTGTACTAGCTAGTAGTTATCTGTACAAAGTGTATTTATACTCTGGCCATATGGCTCATTCAATCAAGAAAGTTTTATTCCTAAAACTTACAAAAACTAATGTCCAAAAATTAAGGAAATCAAATGGCTCACATTGCTTCCGCTACACAGTCATCTCTGATGGATCAATCATTATGTCTTCTGAGGAATACGCCAAATTTATTTGCTACCAGGAGGCTCTAAAGCATTCATCTATTCCTATCTCAATTGTCGCTAATTCAGGTAATCCAAACACATGTCTTGTGTCTTCATCCTCAAAATGGGTTATCGATTCAGGGGCAACAGATCATATGACAGGTAATCCTAGTCTTTTTTCCTCATTCCACACACCTCTTCATACTTCTAGTGTTACTTTGGCTGACGGATCTACGTCACCACTTCTTGGAACAGGTACAATTGTCCCAACATCTACCTTACCTTTGTCACTCGTCCTAAGTCTTCCAAATTTTACTTTTAATTTGATTTTTTTCAGCAAAATCACACGTAAACTTAATTGTTCTGTAACTTTTTTTCCTGGATATTGTGTATTTTAAGATCTATTGACGAAACGGGTTATTGGTAAAGGATATGAGTCGGCTGGTCTCTATCTCTCGGATACATCCTTACCCAAATTCATCTCTTGTCTTGGGGTTGGAACTGTTGGAACTGTATTTTGGCCCTTAAGAATTTTCTTCATAGTCAATTCCGAATATTCACCCCCAACTTTGCTCTCTCCAAACATTAGCGATGGTACATTTATAGCGTCGACACATGACAAAAATGAATAACTTAAATATGAACTGCATCATTAAAAAAAAGTTGATTATCAACATTCTAACCAAAACATGTGAAGTTAAAATAGTTCAAAGTAGTTCCAAAAAATATACTCGTAATATTCTAAAAAAGTTCCATCTATTCCTATCTCAATTGTCGCTAATTCAGGTAATCCAAACACATGTCTTGTGTCTTCATCCTCAAAATGGGTTATCGATTCAGGGGCAACAGATCATATGACAGGTAATCCTAGTCTTTTTTCCTCATTCCACACACCTCTTCATACTTCTAGTGTTACTTTGGCTGACGGATCTACGTCACCACTTCTTGGAACAGATACAATTGTCCCAACATCTACCTTACCTTTGTCACTCGTCCTAAGTCTTCCAAATTTTACTTTTAATTTGATTTTTTTCAGCAAAATCACACGTAAACTTAAATGTTCTGTAACTTTTTTTCCTGGATATTGTGTATTTTAAGATCTATTGACGAAACAGGTTATTGGTAAAGGATATGAGTCGGCTGGTCTCTATCTCTTGGATACATCCTTACCCAAATTCATCTCTTGTCTTGGGGTTGGAACTGTTGGAACTGTATTTTGGCCCTTAAGAATTTTCTTCATAGTCAATTCCGAATATTCACCCCCAACTTTGCTCTCTCCAAACATTAGTGATGGTACATTTATAGCGTCGACACATGACAAAAATGAATAACTTAAATATGAACTGCATCATTAAAAAAAGTTGATTATCAACATTCTAACCAAAACATGTGAAGTTAAAATAGTTCAAAGTAGTTCCAAAAAATATACTCGTAATATTCTAAAAAAGTTTCATGTCTTTCAAAATATGTCAATTTGTTTTTGTTTGATGAAAAGCTGGAGTTTGATAGCTACACAACAGGGAATGACTAAAGGGAACTCCTTCGAGATGACGAAGAGGAGTGCGATGATGATGATTATGGCATAATACAACAACATCCAAGCCTTGATGATTATGCCATAATCACCGACCCCAATATCTTTTGGGACTAAGGCTTGGATGTTGTTGTATTATGCCATAATCATCATCAATTATCGTTAGTTCCCTTTAGTCATTCCCTGTTGTGTAGCTATCAAACTCCAGCTTTTACGTTAATTCAACAGCTTTCTCTTCACGTTAGTTGTATCTTTATTTACTTTTTTATTAGGGTTTTTGTCAATACAGTGGGTTGACATATTAATTTCTTATTAGCGTTTTATTAATATTATGGACTGGTAGATTATTTGAATACTTATCAGGGCCAAAGCCAAAAAAAATGGTGCTGCTGCCATGGCGATGGTGATGGCACCAATATGGTGCTACTATGTGTATGGTCGTCGTCGGGAGGACTTTTCATAGTGATGGAGGGTTTTGTCGCCATATGGTGCGGGGTGCACGTGCCATTTCTCGTCATCGACAACCATGAATAGAACACATCACACATCAGAGACGGGTATCTCCTTGCCATTGCGGGTAATCACACTGTTACCGCTACTTCTACCTCCACCAAATTTGCACTCCATATACCCAGTCTTCAACTCAGTATGAAACCTTTGATCTCCAATGTTTGTCGTCATACTTCAAATTTCACATTAACACCCGATTGTGTCTCATCAATGATCAATCAATATAATATCATCGGCGAACATCATGCACCACAATATATCTTCTTGAATTGATTTCATAAATACATCCATGCCTATAGCAAATAAGAAAGGACGCAGACTCGACCCTTGATGCACTTCGATAGTAATAGAAAACTCTATAATCCTCCCTACACAAGTACGGTCACTTGTAATACAAGCCCCGTACATATCCTAAAATTTGGTTTAGTTTGAGCTAATCTTTTATTTTCTCTTAAAATTTCTTTCCATTTTCTTCTATGGTTATTCGAGTTATAAAATGATGCTATATATTTTGGCATCAGTATTAGACCACGAAGCATAAAAAATGTTAACTAGTGGGAGCAGGATTTTCATTACATTTTTTGAATACACACACCCACACATATGAACTAGTGGAAATAAATAGTCCAGTAAATAGATTACCAACTCCATCCATGCAATATCTGAGTCGTAGTAATCATTGGAAAGGAAGGCATCTGCTTTGCTGTGTAAAAGTCTTTTCAAACTAAAGGAGGAAAGACGAATTTATAAATCAGATTTCCATCACCCAAACATTTCAAATAAATTACGGGATTGAGCAAAATAATTACCTAAACGAGCTTGTAATATTTCCAGCTTCATGTAGTAACTTTGCAGCTTCAACAAGCAGAGAGTTGTATTCTTGCCAGTAAGGAACGATATAGAGGTCATGAAAAGAGGTTGAGGTATTTCGAGATTTTGGTATGTCCATGATTTCAGATTCACTGCGCCTTTTGATTACATTAAAGAATCCCGTTGCTTCCTTTTTTTTATCCTCAGGAAGACTGTCTCTCCACAATGAAAATTCCTAAACATAAAAAGTAAGAAAACTTTGAAATAAAAGCTAGGATGGGTATTAAATTAAACAAGAAAGAAAACCTTTCCCCTGTGAGTAATGTCTTACAAAAATATTTAGACAAAATAAATTTTTGCAGGAAGCAAAAACCTAGTTTCCTATACATACCATTTTGTCCATATCTGATGGATAAAAATTGGCACCAGGTGGTTTTATAACAGGAAATGCTAGTCTATACTCAAGACCTATCCACCCGGCCACAGGCTTCGTAGCCTCAGGAATTTGCTTGACAGCTGAGTCTGCAGTTGTCAAAAATGCCTCATTTTCATCCAAACAGGACCTACAAATTGTTATTTTTATTAGTGGGGAATATGTTAAATACTCCTTATTCCTATTTATTTGTCTTCATTGACCAAATTTATATTGTTCATTTTTTTGTCTTTTAAAGAAATCTATGCACATTAAGCATATATTTCCCAAATTTTGCCCTTCTTATGCTAATCATATAAAATGGGGGCATTTTAAACGATGTATTAGATTTGACTAATCTATAACTTCAATCCTTTTCTTCAACAGTCTCATTTGGTCAATGATGACAGACAAATAAGACCAGATAGAGTACACACAAGGAACTCTTTCAAATATAAAACCCATGCTTAATTAAAAAGTTGAATGAGATGGCCTATGTTACATTATATTTTAAAAAATAGGTACTAATAAATGGCTTGGATCAGAATGGAAGAATAAAGATTAAAAGAAGTTGTCACTTAGACCATCTGTTGTGAGGTAAAGGAATTAGAAGTCAAAAGCGTTCTACATGGAAATTTTGGCTCCTAATTTGTTACATTGGGAGGATTTTGCGGGGGGGATTGAAAGTGGGACGGGGGAGTTGGTATTAGCTCCCCCAATTGACTCCCACGCTAAGCCAAAATGGAAGAAAGTGGAAGAAAAAATAGGTGCAGCAGACTTGTGCAGAAGAAGGGCCCACTTCTTATCAGCCATGTACAAAGAAATTTAAACGGTGCATGTGACGTCAGCATGACGCCATCCCACACCAGCAACTTATTTTTAAAAAAATTGGGGTAAATCATATGGCTGAGATGCGTTTGAACGGGAAAATTGATCCGAAAGCCCAAATTGAAATCCAATGGTTCAAATAGTATATTTTATTTTTCCTTTATTCTAAATCAAAATAAGTAAAAAAAAATAATTTAACAACCTCTTTTTTACATCAAAATGTGCATTTTTAAATTTTATAATATTCAGAAAATAAAATCAAAGAAAACATTGCTTATAATATTTAGGTAGAGAGAATTACCTAACAAGAGTAAAAGGTAGCCAACAATCACAAATACGACTACATTGTTTTAAATTCCCTAGTAGGACTAATAATGTGTGTTTGGACAAATATACCCTTGTAGCTTTTGAAATGTTTTAATTCATAATAAAATCGTAATACATAATAAAAATCGTAAAAAAATAATAAAAATTAATAAAAATATTTATTAAAATTGAGGCTTACGCCACAAAAGTTGAGGCATACGAAAGGTTCCGAAAGTTCTGAAAACTTTATGGCGATGCAAACATCATTCGCGAACATAGAGAGCAAGCTCCAAAGTCGTTCGTGAAGTCAATCGCACCACTCGAACACTTCGCATCGAACATCTCATCACAAACATATGAAAGGTTCGGAAAGTTCTGAAAATTCAGATGATCACTCTGAATATTCTTCATCGCATCATGATCGCGATCATCGCAGAGGCCATAGATATCATCATCATACTGGAAAGAAGATCGATTTGCCTATTTTCAATGGAGAAGATGCTTTCAGATGGCTGGATAGGATGGATCGTTATTTTCGGTTAAATAATACCGAAGAAGAGGATAAAAATGATGTCGTTGTAGTAGCTATGGAGGATCAGGCGTTGAGCTGGTTCCAATGGTGGGAAAGCCAAGCACTTCAGAAGAATTGGGAGATCTTTAAAGAAGCTCTAACGAGACGTTTCTAGCCAAACCTAGTGCAAAATCCTTTGGGACCTCTGCTTAGTTTGAAACAAAAGGGATCTGTGAAGGAGTTTAGAGAGCAATTTAAAGTAGCTATCGCTTCCCAAGGACATCTGAGTAGTGAAGTACTGAAGGGAGTATTCCTTAATGGGCTTAAACGTGATATAAGGGCTGAATTGAAGTTGTACACTACCAGAACCTTAGCTGAGATCATGGACAAGGCCTCATTGATTGAAAATAAGAACAATGAAGCAATGTTCAGGAAGAACAAGGATGAAGGAAAGAAGAAATGGCAGGGTAAAACTAACAATGATAATCATTACCAGAATTGGGGAGATGGAAGTAGGTGGAAGAGTAACCCTAACACTTCTGCAAGTTCTGGCAAGGCTATAACTGAAAATAAGATCAGTGAAGATATGAAAACACAAAACCTGAAAAAGAGTGGTCCCAGATTGTCTCAAAGTGAGTTACAGGAAAGAAGTAGGAAAGGTTTATGCTTTAGATGTGGGGAGAATTGGAATAGGGGGCATGTTTGCAAAATGAGGAACTTCAAAATGATCTTGGTAGAACAGTCTGAAGGGGAGGCTGAGTCTGATGTGGAATCAAGGGATTCTGAAGAAGGGGAAGATGAACACCAGAAATTTAAAGCTATGCAACTGTCAGTGTTAAGTAAGGAAGGCATACCTTCCATGAAGACTTTCAAAGTGAAAGGCAAATTGAAGTGGTCTGAAGGAGAACAGCCTGTGAATATCCTCATTGATAGTGGTGATACCCACAATTTCACAGTACAGAACTTAGTAGACAGGTGGAAAATTCCTTTTACTCCTATCCAGGGGTATAAAGTACAGATTGGGAATGGAGAATTCATTCCTAATAGTGGAAGGTGTGCAGGAATGAAGTTAGATATGCAAGGGAATGTGATTTAACAGACCTATTACATCTTGGAGTTGGGAGGCACTGATATGGTGCTTGGGATGGAATGGCTTACTGAATTAGGAGATATGGAGGTGAGTTTTCAAAATCAGATAATTACATGAAGGCAACAAGGACAGAAGTGTACTATTAAGGGGGATACAGCTTTGAATAATGTGGAGGTTTCTGTGAAGATCATGGCCCACATTTTACAGCAAACTAGAGATGGTTATTTGCTGTATTGTGAGGGACAAATGAGTACATTGGATCAGACTAAAAAGAAGGATAAGGATTGGGGAGAAGTGGTGGCAGAATTCCCAGAAGTGTTCACCTCCAAGCTGAAGTTTCCTACTATCAGGGAATGTGATCATGCCATCAATATCATTGAAGGGGCAAACATTCCTAACATAAGACCTTACAGGTATTCATTTGATCAGAAAAATGAGATAGAGAAAATTATTGGGGAAATGTTGAGTTCAGGGATAATAAAACATAGCAACAGTCCTTACAGCAGTCCAGTTTTATTGGCTAAAAAGAAAGATGGTGGTTGGAGGATTTGTGGAGATTATAGGGCCCTGAACAAGATAACTATCCCAGATAAATTCCCCATTCCAGTTATAGAAGAACTTCTTGATGAATTAGGAGGGGCAAGAATCTTCTCAAAACTGGATTTAAAATCTGGGTATCACCAGATTAGAATGAAAGCAAGTGACACTTACAAGACTGCTTTCAGGACTCATGAGGGACATTATGAGTATTTGGTCATGCCATTTGGACTGACCAATGCTCCTTCAACATTTCAGGCCCTAATGAATGAAGTTTTGAGACCTTTCTTAAGAAAATTTGCTCTAGTAATATTTGATGATATACTAGTTTATAGTAAAACTAAAGAAGAGCATAAAGAGCATTTGAGGAAGGTATTGGAAGCCTTAAGGAAGAATGATTTAGTGGCTACCAAGAAGAAATGTTCATTTGGCCAAGATCAATTGAATTATTTACAACAACATCCAAGCTTTAATCCCAAAAGAATTTGGGGTCGGCTAACATGAATCGATCAATGATATCGATGCTAAGCAGAGAAGATGGACAAGAAAGAGAAGAAAAGAAGTAAAATAAAACGAATAAAATAAAGATAAATAAAAGATAACAACAACACAAGAATATAAGAAACATAACAGATAGAAAAAGATCATAAAAAAGCTAGAATATAAAAATAACATAAGAATAAACAATGGTAAGGAAGATAAACGATAAAAGAAGAAAGAGAGAAAAGGTAGAAAAGACATCAGTCGTCCACACGGATGTGCGCCCTCCACTTTGCTCTCTCCAAAGCCATACTCTCATCCAACCCAAGGAGACGCATATCAGTTCTGATTCCTCTAACCCAAGTCTGTTTGGGTCTTCCCCTCCCTCTCTTCTCTACCTCTTCTCCCCACCCCTCAAGTCGTCTAACAGGTGCATCACCCGGTCTTCTACGCACATGTCCAAACCACCGCAAACGAGACTCCTGCATCTTATCTTCTATAGGTGCTACTCCCACCTTTTGTCTGATTATCTCATTCCTCAAACGGTCTTTTCTGGTATGTCCACACATCCAACGCAACATACGCATCTCTGCCACACTCATCTTTTGAATGTGGCATTGCTTCACCGCCCAACACTCCACGCCATACATTAATGCAGGCCTAATTGTTGTTCGATAAAACTTACCCTTCAGTCTAGTTGGCATACCTCGATCGCATAGAAATCCTGAAGCACTCTTCCATTTCATCCACCCAGCTTTGATTCTATGGCATACATCTCCATCTAATTCACCATCCTTCTGAATTATGGAACCCAAGTAACGAAACACATCACACACCGATATCTCCTTACCATCAAGAGTAATCCCACTGTTTCTACTACTTCTACCTCCACCAAACTTGCACTCCATATACTCAGTCTTGTTTCGGCTCAGTCTGAAACCCTTGTTCTCCAATGTTTGTCGCCATACTTCTAACTTTGCTTTAACACCGGATTGTGTCTCATCAATCAATACAATATCATCGGCAAACATCATGCACCACGGTATGTCTTCTTGAATTGACTTCGTAAGTTCATCCATGACTATAGCAAATAAGAAAGGACTCAGAGCAGATCCTTGGTGCACTTCGATAGTAATAGGGAACTCTACGGTCCTCCCTACACTAGTGCAGACACTTGTAGTACAAGCATCATACATATCCATGATGATACTGATATACTTACGTGATATGCCTTTTCTAGTTAAGGGCCACCACAGGACTTCTCGAGGTACCCTATCATATGCCTTTTCTAAGTCAATGAACACCAAATGCAGATCCTTTTTAGTGTCTCTATACTTCTCCATAACTTGTCTAACAAGATGAATAGCCTCGGTTGTTGAGCGTCCAGGAATAAAACCAA